CAAAGAAACAAACACTTACCCTCGGAAAAAAGCAACAAAGGAAAGAATAGATGTCTCGCACGTTGAGACTTTCTCGTTCATCCAGTAAGATCAGGTCCACGTACTACACAAACATTGAAAAGAAAGGGTAATTAACCAAGCCTAATTGTTAACACACGGCTACTTTGCATTGTAATATTGTCTCGCAGCCTTTCTTGCACTGACAAATTGATATACAAAACGTGGCTTACTGATTTACGACTTCGTTTGATTAATGTGCTTTTACTTAAGAGGACTTTTGACTAAATAGCGATTTCTTTATCGACTGACTAAACATTGGTTCAGAATAGCAAGTTAATAAAGTCAAAGACACAGAACAATGTAAAATTAAATTAATAACTAAGCGAGTGGTTGAGTGAGTGAGTGAAGGAATGAATTGATAAACCAAACTAAATAGGTTATTATTCCTTGTTGTCTCTCCTCTTTTCCATGATGGCGACACAAACTTCGCACGAATGCACAAAAATGAGTTGCTACAAAAGTTACCTCGAGGAACTCGGGTTTCTGACAAAGCTGCTGTATGTAGGTCTTGTATCTACCAATCTGCAAAGAAAAGTCCCAAGCAGAATGTGTTGGTGACCTTGTGCGGGATAATTAAAGAAACAGCCTCAAATAGAAAGTGTTGGTGACCTTGTGCGGGATAATTAAAGAAACAGCCACAAATAGAATGTGTTGGTGACATAGTGCGGGATAATTAAAGAAACAGCCTCAAATAGAATGTGTTGGTGACCTAGTGCGGGATAATTAAAGAAACAGCCACAAATAGAATGTGCTGGTGACCTAGTGCAGGATAATTAAAGAAACAGCCACAAATAGAATGTGTTGGTGACCTCGTGCGGGATAATTAAAGAAACAGCCTCAAATAGAAAGTTTTGGTGACCTTGTGCGGGATAATTAAAGAAACAGTCTCAAATAGAAAGTGTTGGTTACCTGTGCGGAATGAGTAAATAGGGACAGAGAAACAAGTCTCCATGCCAACGTAAGCAACACGACACATACCTCACCAGCCTTCTGATAGACTTCCATCCACAGACTGCTGAAAAACGTGAAGTGAAGAGGAATGGCTTCTATCGCCAAGAGACAACCTACAAAATTCGAATTTTACCCACCATATCACAAAGAGCAGTAGGCACATGTACACAGAATTACCTAAAAACCTAATGCTTGGGAAGAAACAAAATTGCTGTAACCGACGAATGATTAACCAAGGCGCCAAAATAATTGGTTTTGTGTTGAAGGTTGTATAGTGCAGGACTACTCAACAAAGGGGCTTTGGAAGATAATCGCACTGGAACCCCTAAGAAATGATGCGATACTCAGCACCTCAGGTATTTGTTTGTGAGTTGCTGATGCTATTTTATTTCTAATAACGAAGCTTTCTTGCGCTTTTTCCAGACAACTTGAGATATTTGCAAGCTATGTTGATCTTCGCCATCATTTACCATCCTGGTTTCCTTTTGGCATATTTATAAGATTTAATCACGGCGATTTTTTTTTTTTGCAGTCTCAATCGCAGCCATTTTTGGTCACGTCACGTGATGTACGAGGAGGAAACGCCTCGCGTGACAAGAAAACGAGTCGCGCGACAAGACCAAACTACAGCTGGAAAGAGCAGTAAAGTGTTGTCTCTGACGCTGTAAATGACCCATTATCTTGAAGGGTTCTATGGCCTTCAAACACTTACTGCAAGTGATGACATGTTCAGGGACCCTGTCTTGACTGAACCCATAACGCAACAGTTTATCCACAAAGTGGTGATACGGTTGGAAGTACTCCGCAACTGCTGCGTCATACGACTCCTCCAGTCCCTAAAACATTGTGTAAACAACAGGTCAATAGATTACGATTCAAACAAACATGTGAAGAAGGTTGAGGCCAGATATATATATCAAAAAGGGTTTAGCCCGCAATCCTATGATCAACACGACGGAGGGGAAGGTTTGCACTGACAATCCAGTTGTTTTATTTGGAGAATGCTCGTAAAATCGACTTCCCTGAGGTGACAGGATTCTGCCTAAACTGCCCCAGATCCTTCCAATTCTTTTAAAGGTTGTCAGGGTAAATCACCTTAGGAATTGTGCTCATTCACTTCGCCTCTATATTAACTATATTAAATTGCACTCGGTTACACTGCCGACTGGTACATCAAAGAGTATCAGACGGTGGTACACACCTTTGGCGAGTCCAAAAACGACGGATGAAGGAACATGTTAAGCTCAGGCACAGCAGGCCTCGCCACAGACTTGCTGCTGACAATAACCTTCGAGTTTCGACGAGGAAAATACGGACCAAGGAGACCTGGAGATTGCATCACACGTGGTTAGTACAGTAACTCGTCTTTGAGGTCATAAGCAGAAGACAAAAGTACAGCTTAGTAAGTGCACTTATCGTGACGAACGCCGAGTAACCTCTAGCATCCTCTTAATTCCCGAGTGCGTCTCTACATATACTGGCAAAATTAAGTCTCGAGAAAAAAAATTCGGAGAAAACTTAGACTACAGAAGGAGTGCAAGCTTATTAATTCATATGCTCCACACGACTTTAAATCATTGTCACAAAAAGTGAAAAAAAAAAAAAATCGTAGACAGAGTTTTCCAAAATTGGTTTGCTACCAGTCGGGCCGAAAATAAAGAAAGAAACCACAAAACAAAAACACACAAACAAAATTCCGCAAAACAAAGGAAAAAATAATTTACGGACAACAAAAGAAACATGTCCCTGCAAGAGGGGATAATGAATTAGAGTGAATCGTGGACTTGCTAAAACGTTCTTTGTCGCTGTTCCTTGAATGATCTCAAGATCAAGTCTTCAGACGTCAGTTTAAACAAGCACAACCATATGCCCGCTTCCTAACAACTATGTTCTCGGAATTTATCCCTGTCTTTTACTAATCAATCACCCCGCACACATGCGGGAGTCTTCCCCGAATCGTTTCAGCCAAGCAGGAGAAGTGAGCTCTAAGCAGAAGCTGAAAGAAGAGATTGAACCAAAAGGAGCCTCAGATTAGCTCACTTCCCGTGCTTTTCTGAGGGGAAACGAAAACGACTGCTACTCAGGCTAAAACTAACCTGGAGGAGAGGTTTTGTTCCAGTGCTGATGAGAGGCACTGATGATGGGAATCAATGCCTCCGTGACGTCACCGGGGTACACAACCAACATGGCGTTTAATACATCTGTAGATCGTAAACGATCACTTCGTCAAATAAGGGATGCTATTTCGTGGGACACCTTTTGAGGCGGGATGAACAGAACAAACTCGAGGGCTTCCTCACATTGTTCACCAGATTAACCATGGTTGACCAGTTTCCCCCCTCCCCCCGCCTCTAATAACTACATACGTAGCGCAAGCTTCAAACGAGTGTTAAAATTTATTCCAGGAGTGCATTGATTTTTCTTTTGTAGGCTCCGTGACTGCCTCAGAAAAACTATACCGCGTCGCCCTCTCAACTAACCCTCTACGAAACAAAAACCATTTGGCCATTTGCGCTTCGGTAAATTTCCTGTTTTTTACTGAAGCTGTGGCTGGCTCGTTATGATATGTTCCTTGGTCCTGATTGGACTTTGCTATTCGGGTCCGTGGCCCTTTCCCCACTAAAGTAGTCCGATTTGTGTTCGTAAATCAACTATGAGTGCTATTGATCCTCGTTAAGAGGATGCAAAACTTTTGTTCGATTGCACTTCGCTGATAGCAGTTTAACACTACACACAAAAAGACACTTTTCTGTTGCGAGTCGTAAAGTGTCGTTGGGAAAATATCTATCAGTCGACGCGATTTTGCGACTTACCCAGACAGGATTGCCTCACTTCTTTAGGTGTGTAGGAATTTAACAGCGAGAGAAGTTTTTGTGCGACATCAAATCTCTCTGACCATCCTAAAATACTACTGCGAACGTCTGAAAGACAAAAAAGAAAAGATTAAAACACGAAGACAAGTAATACGTACCCTAGCAGAAGACACAGGAAACGTCTAGTTTCTCAAAGTCTACATTTTAACATGGGTTCATTCTTGCAAGCCACGTGGCTTCTTCATGGCGGGGCTTATCCACGATTCCATAACATGTAACGATTGAGAGTATTGCCTCTGAGGCAATCCCGTGACAGGGGCCCCNATTACAAAAGCTGACGTTTCGAGCGTTAGCCCTTCGTCGGAGCGAATCGAGGAATTGTGGGCTGTGTGTGCTTTTAAAGGCAGAAAATGGAGCTACGTTATTGGTGGGAACATGGCAACGAGAAAAACACGAATAAGCGTTTGGTGATCCCTGTGGGATTTAGACTGCAGGATGATTTAGCCTTAGTCCTTCCATTTCACACATTCCACTCTCGCTGTCGCACTACTCCCCGTAGTCCCTTCCACACAGATCCCTGTACCTGATAAGCGTTGTCCACGAAGCCCCTCCGTCCAAACAGTTCTGGTACAGGATAATGGTGTCTCGTCTGAACGATGCTTCAAACGCTTCTTCTTCCTTGCTTTTCTCTTTTGGCGGATCAGGGGAAGTAACGCCAGCAAAGAGCCTCATAAGAGAAAAAAGCTCTTCGACTGCCTGTGACACGGGGAAATAAAAAAAAAATCTGTCACGCAGTTCACATTGTTCATCACCTTCATTACACAACATAAATTTGTAACATAATCGTCGTTACCTGCTTCACACGGCAAGCAAACAAAAGTGTTGACCTACTGTACTTGAACTCTTTGAACGTACACAAGTGACTAGCATCGATTTTTCTTTTCTTTTTCTTTTTTTCTTTTTTCTTTTTCTTTCTTTTCTTTTCTTTTTTTCTTTTTTAAATGATCATTAGCAAAAGAAGCTCTTGATCGTTAAAACATTTCTCCTTATCAGCACCTCAGGAAATGTATGGAAACAGTGTAGAGAATAGGCATAATAACGTTATTAAGGGCGCAAAGGGTGGAAAGTGATTTTGCCCAGTTGCATGGCGACTACTTTGTGGGAGATAAGTCCTTATGAAGTGTTTGCATGACAAGCTTAATAATAATAATAATAATAATAATAATAATAATAATAATAATAATAATAATAATAGTAATAATAATAATCATAATAATAACAACTTTTATTTATATAGCGCTCATATCCTGAGCTCATGGCGCTTTACAACACTGTGCGGGGGACTTTACCAGACTGCTAAGCGATTTACAATCAAATAAAGGCGAATCTAACAGATGCCCCCTTCCCCCAATTCCCAGTAAACAGGCCAGACCACATCACAGTAATCTCGCGAGTGGGTTCTTTAACGTCTCCTGC